AACAAACATACATTCTTTCTGTAATTCGCAATCATGCACTTCCAGTTACGCAAGTCATGAAAAAACAACAACTAGAGGCTCTAAAGAGCCTGTGTCGTTCACCTTAGTCTATGTGCATATTCAACAAAGGACACTCTCCAACAGTGTAGACGAGAATAGAATTCATGACAAAAATCTCTGTTTTGTTGATCTTGTATTGCTGATCATTTAGTCTGTATAGTTTCTCTCTATCTTCTTCAGTTTTTGCTCAAAACACAAAAGAGGGTAAACAAAAATACTCATTTAAGGGCAATCACTCCTATAAAGAGTGACAGTCTACTAACTATATCGGCAAAATCTGACTTGTTAGTAGATCGTGCCTTGCTGATAATTTTTGTGATTTAAAGTGCCTATGTATCTATTATAATTTTTATTATATACGGCAAAACGCAAAAAAAATTTTGTAAAAATCGTCATTAAAAGGCAATAACTCCAATAAGGAGTCTTCGGACGATTTCCTCCATTTTTCTTAATTGTAGATCTTGTCTTGCTGATCATTTTTGCTTATTTCAGTTTCTATCTATCTATTAAAATTTTTAAGATATAAGGCAAAAACACAAAAAAATGGTAAAAATGGTCATCAAAAGGGGAATAACTCTAATAAGGAGTCGACTGAAGATTTTGACCATGCTGATTTATTTGTAGAACTTGTCTTGCTGATCATTTTTGCGATTTAAAGTTTATGTCTGTCTACTATAGTTTTCAAGAAGGCAAAAATAAAATAGAAAAGGTAAAATTTGTCATTTAAGGGCAATGACTCCTATAAGATGTCGTCTGACAGTTTTGACGTAAATGGACAATTGGTAGAGCTCAACATTTTGAACATTTCTGTGTTTGTCATATTTTCCTTATTTATAACGGTTTTCAAAATAATAGACAAAACTTGCATTTTACCCCTATGTTCTATTTTTAGCCATGTCGGCCATCTAAGTTGGCAAGCGGTATCATCTCATCGGACTAATTTTTTAAACTAAATACCCCAGTGATGATTGTGGCCAAGTTTGGGAAAATTTGGCCCAGTAGTTTAAGAGAAGATTTTTGTAAAAGTTAACAGACGACGACGGACGACGCCAAGTGATGAGAAAACCTCACTTGGCCCTGTGGGCCCGGTGAGCTTAAAACAGCATCACATAGCTGAATTACTATCTCTCAAAATTTCATTTCATAGTATCGTTCGTAGCATATCGTATCGTTCCCTTCTCGTCTTTTTTTCATAACTAAAACAAAGTGACCTTATTAACCCATTGCCACCAACTATGCACCAAGAGTGTAACTTACATCCCTTCTTGTTTATTTGACATAAATTGACACCAAATATGCACCAACCTCTTAAAGGAACATAAATCTAAAACTAACACATGGTATAAGTCTATAAACGCCATAAAAATCTGATATATTATACACCAACTTGATTAACTATGAAAAAAAGCAAGACTTAATGACTTTAACAGATAAGAGTTAAACTATCATTAAAAACAAAAATTTAACAAACACGTCAAATTAACACTCTTTCAGTAGAATAATATTATCATAATCATATTTTTTCTACTTTAAACCAAAAACATATGAAAAAACGAATGATATGTGACATTTCTTCCTTAAAACTAAGAGTTAAATTAATAATTTTTAAGTTTGTTTCTGAGAAAAATTAAATAAAAACAATGGTGATTATCATTAAATAATAAAAAATGAAATTAAAAAACATAGAGATCAAATACGAATGTTGAATCTAATGTTAGAAGACTTCTTTCAAACTATGATTTCACACGGTCTACATTCTAAAAAGAAACTGCTTAGTAAAGCCCTTAGAAATTAAACACTCTCTTATGTATACAATTACATGATATTGTAACTCACATTATTTAAATTTACATTGACAGTCTTGCTTTATAATAATTACCATTGTAGTTATAGTCCGTTTGACTTTTACAAATAAAATTTTTTTTTCTTGATGTATGTTAATGTATGATATATACGAACTCTGACTATGAATATCATAATTTTAGGCCAATAATCAAAAAGTAACCCATTAGGTCTCTATGTTACTTCTATTTTTTTTCATATAAAATACTTACATTGGCTAGAGGTATGGGGGGAGGGTTGAGATCTAAAAAAAACATGTTTAACCCCGCCGCATTTTTGCGCCTGTCCCAAGTCAGGAGCCTCTTGCCTTTGTTAGTCTTGTATCATTTTTAATTTTAGTTTCTTGTGTATAATTTGGAGTTTAGTATGACGTCCATTATCACTGAACTAGTATACATATTTGTTTAGGGGCCAGCTGAAGGACGCCTCCGGGTGCGGGAGTTCCTCGCTGCATTGAAGACCCATTGGTGGCCTTCGGTTGTTGTCTGCTCTATGGTCGGGTTGTTGTCTCTTTGACACATTTCCCATTTCCATTCTCAATTTCAATTTTATTGATGGAGTAGGCATGAATAGTGTAACAGCTTTCCATTCAAAACAAAAACATAAGACATGTGCTTTAAACCTGTTTCATTATACCATGTGACTTTCCTCATTTAAATAACGCTGACCAGCAAACAAACTTGGACTTCATTTAAGTTTTATGTCATGTGATTACTGAACTTATTGTATACATTATTTTGTATTTTTCATTGTTCAATTTCTATGAGTAACCTTAGTAATCTTTTCCACTGGACATTACTAGTATAACGTTTTTAAAAACTACAAAGTAGTTTTATGCAAAATTCAGTTTAGAAATTTTATTAAAAAGTTCCCCTTTTCATCAGTAATGGTCTTTATGGTTATATTTTATCTAATTTTATTTTCATATTTTGAAAGTCATAAGCTGTGTTTTTTCAAGAAAAAAGTAAATATTAAATGTATTCTGTAAATACCTATTGGTGAAACTTTTTAGAGGCTCTCCATTTTGTTAATACTGTCATCATGCTTTAAGCATGAAAAGCTTGCTTATATTCTTTTATAAGATATATATAAATATATAATCAAATTAAGGTAACAAAAATTAAGATTTGGTAAGGAATAAAAACAAAATGAAACATCTGATTACAATATTTTTTCCCACAAATAACATCTTTGTAGATACATGGAAGTTCATTTATAAAATCATATAAAACCAGTTATAAAAAAACTTAGATGATGGTCATTTTTCATGGCATTTATAATGTCCTTTGATATTTAAATGAGTTAAGTCACATGGTACAATGAAACAGGTTTAAAACACATGTCTAATGTTTTTGTTTTGAATGGAAGGCTGTTACACTATTCATACTTACTCCATCAAGTATTTTATATAGAAAAAAATAGACGTAACATAGAGACCTAATGGGTAACTTTTTTGATTATTGGCCTAAAATTATGATATTCATAGTCAGAGTTCGTATATATTATACATTAACATACATCAAGAAAAAAAATTTTATTTGTAAAAATGAATTTTTAAGAATTATTTTCTGAAGATTTATAGAAGTCAAACGGACTATAAGTCAAACAAAGTACGTAGATAGCTATAATCATCCTGTTGACATCTTTTCTAAATCATAGTCTACAGTACACTTTTACTTCTAGGAACACCACTTTTTTGTTTTCCGATACATTTAAGTTTTCATAAATTACAATAATTTCAAAACACTTTTAATGCTTTTTAAAGAATCTTTTGCGAATGTGTAAAAATAACAGTATCGTCTGCATAAAGTAACTGAAATAGTTTCATACGAATATTTAGATTCACAAAACATAAGGATTTAAGAGTTTTAAGTCCGGTTCACAATTTTCGTACAAATTCTCTTCTTAATCATTATTAATGTATCTATTTCATTATCTCCAGTTCAAAATTTTTTCACAGGGGCTTTATAACCTTATCTGAGCAGAAAGATTCCAAACATAACTGCACTCATGTATCCAAACCATGAATGAATTATAGACGAATTTCATTTTTACAACCTTTCATAGCACTATTTAATTAAATATGTTCCTTATAAATAGTATTATCTATTCAATGTCAAAATTATTTAGAGCATGTTTCAGTATAAATTATTTTAAGCGAAAAAAAGTAATAAAAATCGATATGAGTTCTTGATAAAAAAAAGAAGCAGAGGATACCAAAGGGAAGAAAGACTGACAAAATCAGGGGAAAAAAACCCGAAACGACGAAAGGACAAACGGCAGTCTAGATAAAAAAAATTATACAATTTTGTACAATTGTGTACAAGTTATCATTTTGTACAAATTGTAATGTGTATGTTAACTTTGTACAACTTATGATTTGTCCAAAAAATGCTTGTAAAATTTGACTAAAATTCACTTATAACTTGTACAAACATGACAAAGGATTTATGATAATTTAACATGATAAAAAGGATGGCCTTCAATATATTTTTAACAGTAATACATTTTAATTGCCTTGCATTCAACTCTTCTTGAACACTTTTGGACTGTTTATTATTTTGGGGTCATTTGTTATAACAAGTTGTGATATAGTGTAAACATGGCCAGCATTGTTGATCAGCAGGATAAATTTGTCCAAGAAATTCTGGACCTAGCAGAGAATAGTACATGAAAGCACAATCATGTATTCACCAAGGATTGTTGGTACCGCATTAGAACAGATGTAGAACAGATGTAGGAATAATTTTGAATTCTGGAAAATGTATGATAAAAACTAACCCAATTAAGGAGGGTTAGCCATGCATGCATGGATAAATGGGATTAGTTAGTTCCTACTGAAATATCAATGAAAGTAACTTGAACCTTAACCCTGCGCTAAAGTTGGGTTAGTTTTCAGAATACATTTCTTATCAATTTCCCAGAATTCAAAATTATTTCAGATTCAAATAATTCCTTGTTTAAATGTAAAAAAGCAAAAGATGTTGTGTAATTCCCGATCCCATAATTCTCTCGCATGCTCAAACAAATGGTACAGAACTATTTTTGTATTTTGTAAATAAGGTTTACTGTGTGGTCATTAAAATAGAAAATCTATAGTGTGTCTAAATGACTTTTTTAATAACAAAGTCAATGTTATAAATTTTTGTACAAGTTATAAGTGAATTCTAGTCAAATTTTGTACAAATTGTAATTTGTACAAGCAATGTTTGGACGAACAACAATTTGTACAAAGTTAAAATACAAATTATAATTTGTACAAAATGATAACTTGTACACAACATATGTATATAAAAGTAAAAAGTAAATACAAGCATAAATATATATTTCAAATAACAGATTTCCTTCATCAGTAAGATGTAAAATGAATTTTATCAATGCATGCTGATTTTCCGAAAACAATCTTGAACGTAATACACATTAAAAACAGAACCACGCTTGTATAACTCAAAAATCTCAAAGTTCAATTATATGGTATCTACATCTTAAATTAGTTACAATGCATATGCCATCCTATACTTTTACAAAATAGCAACTGGACAATTGAACTGATTCAGGTTCCACATCAAAATGATACAGTTTTTCTCGACAATCATCATAAAATGTCCATGTTCCATGAATCTTTATCTTGTCAACAAAATGATTTATTCCATCCATGAAGAAACGGACCAAGTAAAGCTCATACCTATAAAAAAAAAAGAATTACCGGAAATAGAAAAAAAAAATATATTCTTTCTGCTAATGCAAATACTAGAATTTTCACTAAAAACTGTGTTTCCTAAATTAGTTTACAACATGTTTTGTATTTCTTGAAATATAAATACCTGAAAAGAAAGAGAAAATACCAAGGATGTTTTAAAAGGTTACATAAAAATAAGCGACGGAAAGACAAACAACTATAACTAAACAGTATACAACAAACTAAAGATTGAGCAACACGAACCCCACCAAAAACCGGGAATGAACTCAATTGGAAGGGTAATCAGTTCCTGCTCCCGTAGTGACAACAGTCGTGTTACGCATTTCAAGTAAAATACGGTGATAAGTTCATCCGGTAATGTCACAACCAAGGAAAAGAGGGTGGAACTACAGTTACGATAAGTGCAACATGTACATGGTCATCCGTTAAAAAGTTAAATCACAAAAATACTGAACTCCGAGGAAAATCCAAAACGGAAAGTCCCTAATCAAATGGCAAAATCAAAACCACAAACACATCAAACGCATGGACAACAACTGTCATATTCCTGACTTGGTACAAATTAAAATATATCCTAATCCTTTACACAAGTATTCCTAATTCCAACCTAAAAGATAAATTGAAAGAATTGGACCAGCTTTGTTTCATAAAAAGAAATGGTCAACATAGATATAGGAAGATGTGGTATGAGTGCCAATGAGACAACTCTCCATCCAAGTTACAATTTATAAAAGTAAATAGACAAAAGTATCTTAATTTATCGTGGGATAAATCGTACTTTGTAAACAATCACTTTGATTCATACAAAACATTTCTTGAAATCGACATTATCACGATGTTTGATTTCTTGATTGACAGCATATTTGTAACGTGTTTTTCAACAAACAATCGACATTCCCATGGAAACCAACTGTGCTCATCTTCTTGACGACATGTTCCTTTATTCATATGAGGCTGACTCAATACACAAGTTTCTTAGGAAGAATAAAAAGAATATAGCGTTATCCATAACTTCACTTTCTGCTATATAGATGATGCCAAAAAAAAAAACAAACAATAAATGTGTATCTGCGTTTGTCATTCTGTTTTATGAAACAAAGCTGCACTAATCAAAATGTGGTACTAGAAACACGTGTCGTTTAATACTACTGCTGACGTTGGACTGTCAGTCCCAACATTACGATGCACCCATTAGCCAATGTTTTGATAGTGGTATGATTTAAATGATACATTTTATCTTTGAGAGGCGAACAAGGGAGTGTAAAAATTTGGCGATAAGACTTATTCATTGATTATGTCACAATCAAGGAAAAGAGGACTTGATTGTAGCAGCGACAATTGAAACACATCCACAGCCATATGTGACACAGATATTCCATAACAGTCAACCAACACATGGCGGCATCCGATATATACTTAAAATGCAGGCGCTGCTGGAGTGTTGCTACATAGAAATGAAAAGTTCATAGTAGGGACTGAAATCATCACTTTTGTCGTAAAGTTTTGTTCTCAACCGATCCTCATTGTCAAATTCTAGATGTAATTCAAGATATGAGGCAGAACTAACTTTACCTGTGGTATCCTTTATTATTTCAAATTCGATGGGATAGATACGTACAACATTATTTAGTGAGATGATATCATCTATATAGCGGAACGTGGAGTTGGAGGATAATGCTAGCTTCTATTTATTCGTTCTGAGAAGCTCATATATGAACTATGTTTCATATGAATAAAGGAACAATGTTTCATATGAATAAAGGAACAAGTCAACAATACAAACAAAGTTGGTTCTCATAGGAATGCCGATTTTCTGTTGAAAAACACGTCCTCCAAACGTTACAAATATAATGTCATGAAACAATAGAGCATCTTGATAACATTTAGTGTCACTTTCAGAGGATTTTTTTTCACAAACTATTATTTATCCCTTCCTACAACAAAATATTTTAATCTACAGTGGCCATTCGTTTTTTAAATTTTCAGTTTATAAATTTTGTGAAATTAATGTTGAAATTTTCTTAGGTAGTTCTTACCTGAACAGATTTTTTGTTCTGTTTCGGAGACCCTTTAGGATTTCGTGCTATGAAACGTTTATTTCTTTTAAAATTATTGTGCTCACGTATACCTGGTGTATTAGTAGGTAATTTCAGAAACACGAGAAACACGTGTCGTGGGCACTGAAAACGGTATGATATATATATATTTAAAACGTGTAGAATTTCGATAAAAATGAAAACGAAAGCGATGAATAAAATTTTAATTTATATGTGAAATTGTCGAAATGTATAATTTAAATTATAATTATTTAAATTCCCGAAATTCTAGATTTCATCAACTTTCTAATTTTGACCTCTTCAGTGAAATGAATCATTGGGAAATTTGCAACATGTTTAAGGTAATTTTAAAGATTTTCAAAACTCAACATACGCATTGTGACATCGACAGTTTGTTTAACGTTTGAATTATCTAATGTGCTTAATATTTTCCCCCAAGTTTCTTATTTATTTAATGGAAAAGAAAGGATATGGGGTATACATCCATGACACAAAATCAGTATGTGCACAGCGAAAAACACAAAAAGCAAAGGAACAGCACTTTTATTGCTGTTCTTCATCTCAAAGTCACAGTGAAGCTTTCAACACAGAGCAAAACAACTCTCACCTCACTGCAAGTTAAAGACGGCCCCTAGCACCGGTTTGAGCGGTATTCTTTGATTTTTTTAGTTCATTCACTCAATTATAATTGTTTCATCAATCTTCTACTTTATACGAATTATAGATAAGTAACCTATGTTCATTGGACTCCACTATTTCAGGAATTTCAGCGCTTGAATGTTTCTTTTTACCATGTTTCAAGAAGAACAGATTAATTGGCAAAATGAGTGGTGGTTCAACCAATGTTTGAACCGAATTCCCTCTGCATTCTTCTTTGATGATTCTAAAAAGAGACACCAAATGCTATATTGACGTGTAAAAAATACACAAGGACACTGATTCGTCCTGGTATTTTCAGAAGATGTTACTAAAATCAATAGCAAAGTACAGAATTGATTCATTCAATGCTAATTTCTGAATTTACCTTCAGGAGGAACACTCAAAACTAAAAATTTGGAAAGGCAATTATGTATTTATTATGTATCTATTACAATGGGTGGTATGTACGGTATGCACTTATAAAGACACGAAAGATAAGACAGAACTGTTCAATGTCAATACATGACGATGAAAAAAAAACGATATGAAAAAAAATGAAATATCATTAGCTGCTCTCTCTCTCTCTCTCTCTCTCTCTCTCTCTCTCTCTCTCTCTCTCCTTGCTTACATCTAAAGTGTTTCATTAACTTTAATTTCTGATCTCCGGCTTATACAGATTTTTATTGCCTGTATATGAAAAAATAATGATGTATTTTGTGATCGATATTAAATTCCTCAAGAGTAGCAATATTTGAATAATGGTATTTTGAAGATCCAAACAGAACCCCTAAGCTCAATTTAATGTAAACTACACCTACCCATGGATACTGTAGCAGGGCAAATCATCTCTTTTTAGGTACTTGTTAATAGCTCTTTTGATGGTGTCACATAAAGGCTCTCTATCAATAGAAAATACAACTACTTTATTATTTCTACGAATTTAATGAATCAATGATATTTGTCATAATCGAGAAAATAAATAATATTGCCAAACTTGATACATAATGGTGTTACTGTTACTAGACTGTTAGTGTTGCAATTAAATCTTTGTAGTGAGATCAGATTTTTACTAAATTACACTTTTAAAATATGATTGAAGGTTACTGTTCAAGTTATAAAAAGATTACCCCAAAAGTCTCATAACCCATGTTTACTTTCAAAACATTGTCTATTTCTTAACAGTTTAGCTTTATTCAAACTAATATCAAAACACTACGTTCGAACAAATTATAAAAAAAAAAAAACAACGACATAAATGTTTCCATCTGAGAAACCTCACTTTCACGTCTCATTTAACAAATCTAAGTAATGTCTATTAGACTTTTCAGAAAACTGTTTAAAACTTTTATATTTACATTGATGATGACATTTACAGATTATTATATAGGGGCCATCTCAAAGTAGACAAATGTTGATGAATTGAAAAGCTAATACCGCATTCATACGATTTATTTCATATGAAATCAACTAAACAAGTCTCGACGCCTGCATACAAAAGAAGCACAACTCTATAAAAAATTGAAAACAACACGTTTAATAATTTTATGCGACCGAAGCGCGTTTCTGGATTTACCTTCATCTGGAACGCTCAAAGCCAAACATTTGAAATCCGAGGGATGTATAAGTACCGAAACAGTTGAAGAGCTATATGACAAAAATACCTAATACAAATAGCATAACTCTTCAATTTTTTTCTCAGCAGTAACTCTGTATTCTTTGATAGAATTATTAATTTGTCGACACCTCTCTTTAAATTGTCAGGTTTTCACAGTAATAGTTGTTGTTTATAGGGTGCCACAAAAGGATATTTATTAGGACATATTTTACCATAAACAATCTTTTTAAGAGAGTCAAGCTCAGTATTTCTACCACTTGACCATAGCATTGCAATGTCCCGAAAATTAAAGCTTCTTGGGACAAACTAGTGACCTGCAAATTTCCGTTGAATTTTAGTAAAGAGCATCCACTGCCATTAGCAGTTTTTTTCACTTGTGCTCTTAATTCATTAAGAGATGGTCACTGTACCAGATTATGAAAATGTTGATAAAAACACGGTTATTTGCTTATAAATTTCATTCCACTTACGTAAAAATTTACGTTAATCATATGAAATCACGGATATGATCTGAACTAAAGCATGAACAACATTATTTCTAGGATAAGTTTGTGTGGCCTATCAGTGATACGCATGAACGTATCATTTCCAATTTGTTTCAATATGTCTAAAAAGGTTTTGGCTGTTTCTCCGGTTGTTTGATGTACCTGTGACGGGAAAACATTTGAGAACATCGTTCCCCTCACAAGTAGCTACAGCATCGTCTACAATTCTATATCTAAAGTTGAAGTGATGGTTCAGGGAGAAAATCCCTTGTTGGAACTGTTATCCGTGGATGGAAAAAAATATGACGAATAAAGACGTCCTGCATTGTTACAAAAAGGCGAATAACCATCTATCTGACGAGCAACAGCCCGAACCTAGTGCTCAAACGACAAAAAAAAACTGATCCAAAAAAGCATATCATTGATGCAGCTTGTTACATGTAAAAGGAAACTGTTGATATATGAGAAATTCATGGCTAAGAAAATTTCTAAAATATTAAAGGCTTGAGAGTCAGCTTTCTTCAGATTCAAACGATTAAAACAGATAATGACTTATATAGTGCAATAAATTTCCGGGTTTTCCAAGTTAAATAAAACCCGAAAATACTTCTTATTTCACTCCTCTTACGTCATACAACAATATGTATTGTAATTAGTTGTTGATGACGCCACATCAAAACAAATTGTGAATGCGTAGAAAAAGATATTGATCCTTAAACTTTCTACTTTAATTCGAATTAAAAAAATTCGTTTTCAATGCAATAAAAAGAATAAGAAATCAAAGAATTCAAATATCGAAAAATATTCAACTTGTGACAGAACAACAATGATAATTAACACACGCGCATTCGTAAAGTTGCTTTGTCACTAGTTGAATATTTTTCTATTTTTGAATTCTTCAATTAGTTATTCTATAATTAAATACGACTAAGAAGTAGCTGATTTCATTCGGAATAAAAATCTGTTATCTTATTATATTCGCTTGTTAAGCATGACATAGTGTATTTTGAGATGACCCACAGGTAAGTGTACCTGTAATTATCATCGTCAACTTAAAAGTTATTGTGAACTATAGTTTCCGAAAATGTCTATTATTAGCATAGAGTTTTACAAAGATATAACTTGCTTGAGTCTTGGTCTAGTTGTATCAATGAGACGTCTGTTGGTATGTTAAAATCTGCAATTTGGTAAAAGTATTTTGTATCTGTTTTCACAGGTATAATCGATAGCGAAATAAATGATTTCTCAGTTTTTTGTTCAACTCATAATATTTGATATATATGTGTATGTTGTAAATCTGTATATAGTGGCTCTGTTGTATCGTGTGTGCTTTTTGTATTTTTTTTATCCGTAACAAATGGTTAGACTTTAATAAAAAAAAATGTTTTTTCTGTCTTGTCTACAATGCTACTTTCATATCAATAGATGTCAATTAAATCTATAAACTCACCCTGGAACTTCATACACGGGTAAAACGTTGTAGAGTTGCGTAGTGAAATAAACATCACCATTAACAAGTGAGCAATGTATACGAAGAGGAAATCTATGTTTGCCGAGCACACAAAATATTCTCTCATTTTCTGTTCCAATTATATCTATTATTTTCTCAGTTTTCGCACCATTTGCATCGATATCTGCGATGTAACCTCCATATTTACCCCACGCAACCTTGCCATCTCCAAAATTCCCAACTTTGAACTCCTTCCATATTTGATGGTATATCTAAAACATTTTTTATGCTAAATCATTACTTTAATATATCTTTTTCATTTTTATTTAAGGTTTTGTGAACATGAAAAATTAACTACTATAAATTTAGATTACTTGAATAAAAAGAGGAAAAAATGTGTTTCTAAAAATATAAAGGCAACAAACCTTGTGCAAATCATGTTCGGAATGTTCAAACTGTGTTCTTAATGCTAGATTTTCCTCCAATAAAACATAAATCATCAGAAGAAATCCATCAACACAGCATGTATTTTTCAGGACAATTAGTGCACTGGTTCCACCTGCTAAAGGTATCTCGAAATTAGCTTGAAATGGTCGACAATTTCGAATTCTATCTGAAATGTAATTCGTGCAGTAGAAAAATAAAGTTTTGATAATTACGAGAATAATGTTTTAAAATGGAATTATAAAAATCTTATTCCATATTTTTTTGCTTTGAACTTAGATAACATAAACACTAACAATCACGACAACATAATTTATAATTTGTATTAACATTTAAAATTAAGATCATTCGGGATCTTGAACATGTGGTAAATGTTTCTAAAAGGAAACCCGTTAGCATGTGTGCATCAATTCTGTTTTGTTCTGATCAAATAAATCATCGGTATAATTTCATATATATACTGTATATTCATTTAACTTACTGTAATAAATTTAAAGCCTTGTAAAAATATTGATGCTTGTTGTTTTCGGTAGTTTTTTTTTAGGCATAACATGTAAATAAACTCAATAAGTGCTTACTTTTGTCGTATGATGTTAACGTTGTACATATTTCTGATCTGTTATCTTGTTCCATTGTCGGCTGTACATTATGCATCCTATTTGAGTTGATTTGATGTCGGAGATGATTGAGTTGATCATGCACAAGTCTGTTGTGAATTATGTGAATTTCGGTTCTTACTTCGATTCCGGTTGGAATAATTCCTTTACCGCTTATTGAATCATGTATGGTCTGACCAATAGCTTCATCCTCATAAAGACAAATATCTTCTTCACATATGCGTTGATGATAAACGTTCCCAGTTGCATATCCAAACATTTGGTTTTCATTACTAATACTGGTATGTATACCCCCATTTACATGGCATACGTTTCCTTTATTATATCCGTCTTCATGATGCTTTGGTGACTGATCTTTATTTCGACTCATATAAGGTGACCCTTTTCTCAAAAAATGGCAGCGGGTTTTGTTCGTATCTGTTCTTTGATTTCTGGAGTGAGTTTCTTGCATATGTAATAGATATGCTCTTGATAAGTTTAGTTGGGTCTTCGATGGACCTATACTTGGTATTCTCATTTTAACGTTCGGGCTTCTGCTATTTTGCTTCTTACTTGTTTTGTACCTCTGTGATCGTAGAGTTTTCAAAGTGTTTGTTTTATCATTAGAGATTGATGAAAACGTTTCTGCTGTTCGAGTCCTTAAGCAATAAGCGAGGCTGTGTCTCGCTTTTCTTGAAGCTTTTAATTTGCTTGCTTTGTTTCTTTTGCTGTTTTGCAATGGTACTGGCTTGGTTTTATTCTGTTCTGATTGGACAACTGAGTGTATTACCCTTTTTCTTTTGTGTGACTTTAAGACATTAAGTTGTAAAGTTGATTGTATAGCAATCTGTCCTGTATATTTACTGTTTGCTGAGTCATTATATTGATTCGTCGTTTCTTGGAGCTGTGGGTATTGTATCATATCTTCAAAACCAGGCAAAACAATACCCGATTCCACAGACGCATTCCTCATAATGCCTCTACAAGTACTGATCGAAGCTCCGATGTCATCAGGAAGACTCAATCTTACTGAATTTGTGCTAGAAGTGTTCTGGGTTGTTTGAATTACGTTCCACGTCAAACCATGAGCTTGCTTCGTCGGTTCTTGAAACTGTAGGTATTGTGGCATAACTTCAAGAACATACAAAACAGAACCCGACTCCACAAACGCATTTGTACCGTTCCGTATCCTCCAAATGTCGCTAAAATTGCTGATCAAAACACCAATGTCTTCAAATAGACTTGAGCTTACTAAAGTCGTGCTCGAATCGTTCAGGGTTGTTTGGATAACGTGACACATCAAACCATCAGCTTGCTTCGTCTGTTCTTGAAGCTGTAGGTGTTGTGGCATAACTTCAAGAACAAACAAAACAGAACCCGATTCCACAAACGCATAGGTACCGTTCCGTATCCTCCAAATGCCGCTACAAGTGCTGATTAAAGCTCCGATGTCTTCAAAAAGACTTAAGCTTGCCGAATTCGTGCTCAAAGCGTTCTGGGTTTTTTGGATTACATTCCACGTCAAGTCATATTTGGTGTTACCAGACGAATACTTCCTTAATCGAAATATTAATATAACACCGTAAGACTGGTGCTTGTCTATGAAAACTACCGATTCATATATCATTCGATCTCTTGTACGTTCACTCACATTGATGCTATACCAATAAGATCGAACTAGTTGGTTGAGATCAACGCTGGCATGGTCAGTTGATATAACAGCCGCAACTTGAGCAGCAACGGCAATGATTTCCTGATTGCAACTGGTGTGGTGTAAATCTGCCTGTTGGTGGTTGTAGGGAAGATGTTCATGTTGTTGGTGATTGCTGACTACCGAGTAAAGGAATCTGTCATTTTGTGGACATGTTTTTATATTGAAAAACATAATAATGGACTGTTCAATATCTTGATATTTCTTTACACGCAGTATATGAATAAATCCATATTCGCTCTCGCTGATGGTATATTGCATTAACTTACTCCTTTTAATTGGAATCTTCTCTGGTAGTATTAATTCTGTAACTTCATTAAATCTTCCCTTCATTGTCATTTCTTCAGCCACTTCATTTTTATTTCTGTTTCTTTTAATGAGGGATTTATGGAAAAGATTATGGTTCTTCAAATTTTCGTCCAGATCTGTATTGCCCTTAAATTGTTGCTGCTGATTTCTATAGTATTGTATCATTTGTAGCTTGAATTTGGTAATGCTGTCTACTTCCTTTTGGAGAAATTTATATTTTCCTTCAAGTTTTGCTAATTTTCTATCAGATTTCCCTTTCATATATTTCATTTTGTAGCATCTAACCCCCTTTGGTGCTCTATTTAATTGTTGTCTTTGTATGTTATTTGCTTTTGAAGTTCCCTCTGTCTCATTTTCAAAAGGTTTCAGGGTTTCATTTTCATCGGAAGATTCTTCATCAGACAGCGAAGATGACCCATTTTGTATATCTTCATCCGAAAAGCTCGTGTCGTTGAAGTCTTTCGTTTCATTTCCATACGGGGGCTCATACTTGTCATCTTGTGTTTTCTCATTTAGCTCTTTATCTTTATGATCAATCGAGTGTCCAATATATTTATCCCCATCATCCCAAATGTCTTTGTTGACAAAGGTGGAGACTTCAAACGACCGGTCATACTTATCGTCTGTTTCAGTATCTCCATCTGACATTTTGTCTGTCTTGCAAGAAAATCTAAAGACGCTGAAAAATAAAACTTTATACAAAAACATTTTAAAACAAAGGTAGTATACCGATGTTCAATTAACATTTATCCCAGTAAAAATAGACAAACATTCGTGTAAAAATAATCTGAGTTGCATGAACTCCAAACTAATCGAGAACAGTCGCGTAGTCACTGAGGATAATCATTTTCTGCTATGCATGCATCATACGTCATGATATCAGATTCATATTCAGTTGTACGGGTAACTATCCAAGAATATGACATAACCGTAAATTATCTCGGATGGATCATACGAAGTAGATAAGTTGATTCAAGGATAGAACTAAAATGTCACTTGTAAGTTTAGAAGTTGATACATTCTAACGATTGACCTGTTTGTTAAGGCGGCATGAAAACTTGTGCAGTGAACACTGAAGTCGTTCTTCCTAGTAATCATATCACGGCAGTTTTTGGGTTGAATATTTGAAAATCCAAAACTCAAAAGAAAAATTGAAGAGCCGATAAAACAAAAATCCATTATCAATTTATGCCCACTTTGTCGTCATTATTTAAAGACTTATATTGGAAGATTTCATTTGTTATGCATTGCCTTTCAAAAAGGCTAATTCCCTGCTTTCCTCATTTTGTCGTTCATTCTTTTTCTACTACATGTCTCTCAGTAACATTTTAATTTATTTTACCTAATTAACAGTCATAATTGGATCCGTTCTTATTTTGTCATAAACTTTAGTGGGAGATTTGTACATAGAACTATATTTTAAAACAATATAAGTAGTAAATATATACGTATTGAGATCTTGTATCACCTATGATGCAATTTCCTGAGTACCACCGGTGGTTTCATGGTAGCATGACTGCCTCGAATGCGAGAGGTTATGCTAGATCAACTTCCCCCCAAAAAACCTTGAAAATTGGTAGTTGCTGCTTCTCCGATAAGCACGCGGCATTTAAAAGTAAAAGCAAAGACTAGTCGGTTCGAAGTCAAAATGATGTGTCCGAGTAGAGTGACACGTCTTTTTGTGGACTTATGCACTAAATTTTCAATACAATTTAAAAATCTGAGGAAAGGGCCTTTAGTATTTTCAGACCCGTATGGTAACACCAGACAACAAACAAAGTGACAATTGAAAAGTGACAAATTATATCAAAAATGAAATTATATATAATTTCTGCGAATCAGTCTGCAATCTTTGCACATTTATTTCTGATTTTTAACCACCCTAACTATTCTAATAACAGCAAGATGATTAAAAGAAAGTGTCCTTCAAAATTAAGAGGACACAAACCAAGTGACAAGTATACCAGAAGTGAAATCTTAAACAATTTCTGGGAAGTAGTCAAAACAGGAAAGAAAATATAAGGAAATTGAAGTACAGTATCGAAAGTGAAAGTTATATCAAATTACTAATCTATAACCAAATCAAATGTTTTAAATGGTATATAGGCTGCCATAAAATATCAGTAGAGTGTGTATGAATCATTAACTATATATATATATATATATATATAGAGAGAGAGAGAGATACAGATATAACATGACAAATGGATAAAACTGGAATTCTTCATGCTAAATATAACTAGAATTCAAATAGTAAAATATTAATGGCTGATGGCATTTAATTTGACCAAGTGTTCAAACACGACAGAAGACAAACTTTTGAAAAGATAAAATCAAATTCACGGGTGTAAAAAGGTTAAGCTTACATTACTATTGGAGTGCACAAATCTAACTTCAAAACACGTAAATAGATCCGATCCCCAGTGCCAGATTAAACTCGATCGTTTGATTTTGCAGGTCGAATCTATTTATATATATCAAAGGTACACATAGGGAATTATTTATCCATATGGTTTAAATATTCTATAGAAGTAAAATATCAAAAATACCGATCTCTAAGGAAAATTCAAATGGCAAAATAAAAAGCTCAAACACATCAAACGAATGGAAAACAACTGACATATCCCGGCATTTCCGCATGTAGAAAATGGTGGATTCAACCTGGTTTATTATAGCTAGCTAAACCTCTCACTTGTATGACAGTCGTATAAAATCATTATATTGACAACAATGTGTACACATAACAAACAAACATAATAGGTTAAAATGTCAAAAATAGGGGTACAGCAGTGAACTGTCAGATAATACATATAAGAAGATGTGGTATGAGTGCCAATGAGACAACTCTCCATACAAGTCAAAATTTATAAAAGTAAAACAATATAGGTCAAAGTACGGTCTTCAACACGGAGCCTTGGCTCACACCGAACAGCAAGCTATAAAGGGTCCCAAAATTACTAGTGTAAAACCATTCAAACGGGAAAACCAACGGTCTAATCTATATAAAAAAACGAGAAACGATAAACACTTATGAACCACATCAACAAACGACAACTACTGAACATCAGATTCCTGACTTAGGACAGGTTCAAACAATTGCAGCGAGTTTAAAATGCATATTAATATTCTCATAAAAGCAAGATGATTAAAGGAAAGTGTCCTTCAAAATTAACAGGTCTGTCTTTCATTTGAACAATCCTGACACCCCTCGGTGTGTTGTACGAAAAGAGAAACCTTAAAATATCCATTATCTATAACGGAAAATTGTTGATATTACTTTTCGTCTATTTTAAGAAGTCCTTATGTTTTGTTTTCTTATCCTATAAATAGATATATCGATTGAATATTTTTCGTCTTGTGATAAATTACCAAACTTGCAAAGTCTCTGATCTCATTGGGTCTTATAATGTTGCCCTTTTCTGTTAAAAGATTGTGCTTACTAATTCTTAATTCAAATATTAAAATCACAATTATTGCGACTTAGATCATTTTTTTATTTACGTGTAATCTTTATATATGACTTTATACGAATAAATTATGTTGCTTTCGATCGGGTAATTTATTTTTGTCTCCATCATTGTCCATTACTCATTTAAAATGATTTAATAAACATTGGTGCATTCTTATTACTTGCGCCTGTATCTAAATGTGTAATTAGGGATTCTGAATTTTTATTGAGTTATCTATATGTTTCATGATGATTTTCTCACACCTAGAACATGTACATTTTTACAAGGGTTTTTGGCAATTAATGTAAATTTATCTAATATGTGATTTTTTTTTGGCTAAGCACTTTCCTTTGTTCTGTATTAGGTCTTGAAGGTGTCAATATAAAAACTTCTATTCTGTGATATATGTAAACCAGCTGATAGATCACAGATATAGGATTTTTATTATTCAAATGAGAAAAGCATCTTTCTTAATTTTTGTGACAGGTCTAATATACTCAATTACATCTTATAACATTTTCTAACAAAGAGTGATCATCAACATTTTCCAGTTTTAAATGTATTGGTTTTTTTTCTTACAATTAATCTGTTCTGCTGTCAGTTCTTTCCTTTTTGTGTATATAAACTGTGAGATATCAGTTGCCCAATAATTTGATAATTTGTTTAGGCTATTTTGAGATAAAAGATACAACAGATACAGTTAAGTCTGCCTCATATCTTGACTTACATCTAGAAATTGACAATGAGGGTCGGTTGAAAACAAAACTTTACGACAAAAGAGATGATTTCAGCTTCCCGATTGTGAACTTTCAATTTCTATGTAGCAACATTCCAGCAGCGCCTGAATACGGAGTATATATCTCCCAGTTGATACGATATTCAATTAATTCCTTCTGGATTTTGTGAGATTATAAGAAGAGCATCTGTTAAGGTAGTCTTATAATGATTTTTTAGGGATTATTTTTTATCACATTATTTCTAAGTATGTATTCATCTGAACATTTTGTTATCCCAGAGTCATTATCATGACACAACAAGGGGCAAAGTAATAATTAAATTATGTAAATAAAAGCACATGGTAAATACTTTATATATAAGGGCATATGGAAGGAGCTTATCTTTCAATCATATGTTGATACCAAGTGTCCAGCTGTTAATCTCTGACCACAAGATAAATAATGTGGTCTTAATTTATTTTGTTGCAATCAAAATTAATTTACATAACTATGGAGGTAAACAAAGAAAATATAAAAGAGAAAAATATAAATGTTTAAGAGTAGCATTTGTTATCTTAATAACTTTTACCCTTTATATCTTTTTTTCATATATTTCAATATAGACATAAAACTATGCACTAGACTAGTTTTTGTCTTAGTGCTATTTGCTTAGCACTCAATACAGTTACAGGTTTCAAGAAAACTTGCATTTATGATTTGTACAAAACAGTTATCTTAAATGCTGCTTCTCTTACACCACATAGCTTACTGCAAATTTTGCACGAAAGATTTATGTGAGGACCTATACAAATGATCGTCATTTAGTTCCAATCGAATGAAAAACGAACTTGATACATTTGAAAATGTTTGAAAACTTTTACAAAAATGAGAATTTGATGACATCTACAAATTGTCTTCTTTGAATCATGAATCATCTAATGTTAAAAGGGTGAAATAGGCGGCACATTTGTTCACACGAAACTTAATATAATGGAAAAATCACAGTTTCGTCACTTTTCTACGAAACTGCACAACCAGTTAAGACCAAACTTTAAAGGAATGCTTTATAGTGGAAGGTAATTTACAATTGAATATCATTTGGTTTCGTTATGATTAAACATGTCGGTAAGAGGCAATATTTGACTCTGTTTGACCGATTGCAAAACCGATTTCCTCTAAATGTATACAAGTCGAAATAATTACAAATAAGGATCATCTACTTAAGAATAATGAACAAGCCAAAATAACCTCTTTTTTGTTTAATAATGATGGCAACACACAAGAAACGATAATAAGTTCGATGAAACCGAAGACCGACGAAATTAATAATAAATCACTCTTACGATTCATTTTTTTAATCATCAAAAGAGATAAATACAATGATAGATACCTTGCATACAATTAAAACCTACCTTCAACTTCAACTGATACCGCATCCTTTTGCCACATGGAATGACTCAAAACTGAAGTTTTCGATAAACGATCACATCTGAAACAAAAGTTTTATAATTCAGAATATTATTAGGAATACACTGTACTTGCCGAGTTTTATAATTCAGAATCTTATTCGGAATACATTGTACTTGTCAAGTCTAGAGGGTTCACGATGTAAAATATTTCACATTTCATCAAATCCGCAAAATGGCCACAAATTCACACGCAACGAATAAAAAGTGTCATCTCATAAGCTGAACTTATACTTAATTTTAGTATGGTTTCAAAATTGTTAATGAGTGTTTTTATATAAAAAAAAACACACCTTAAATCAACAGTTATTCAAGCGTAAATATACCTTAGATGTTGTTGGCTGTTGTGATAGGCCTTCTGGTTTTGAAGGTCTCTAACGTTTCATAATTATAGGATATGATTGTTTTAATCGAATGCTTCCAGAAACACATGTCGTACACAGTGAAATAGGTGTCATAATAAAAATTGTCGTAATAATCTCCATAAAGTGTGCCTTATATATGATCTCTGTGGGTTGTATCATATAACTTGTGCCATTAATGACTAGATTTGTAGAAAGATCTTGGTGTATAATATTGAATTGATCACATTTTGCATAAAAGAGTACCGCATCAATTGACACTTGGAATCGTGCTTTATATTGCAGCAAGTAGATAAAGAGATATAATTATTATAGTACCACACCTTGTTTCATGTTTCTTGTCAGCTGATGCATCATAAAGAACAGAAAGAATAGCAGCAATATACAGAATAACTGTATTTTACTGAAGTCAGCCAGGTACTGTGTACAACAAAGTAATAAAACAGAAGGCAGTGAAGAAAAAGAAAAAAGAAGCTGAACAATAAGAACAGAACAAACAACGGTTAAGAAGCTATAAAAGAATAAGTATTAATGAATTCAGTCAAAGAACACTAGAAGAAAACAAAAACTGTTCAAAGCGATCAATCTTTAGATAAATAAAATCAAAATAATAACAATAAAACTTTGGTTTAACAGTTGAAAATGTGAAAATGAATATCAAATTGGCCATAATGGTTGAGGGATGACTATCTTAATCAGGTAGTATGCAAAAAAAGACATCAGTATTAAAACGTTAAACATAAAAAAGATAAATGCAACAATTAAGTCATTTATCTTGTACGTCATTTGGTGGAGAGTTGTCTCATATACCACATTTTTGTATTCGAAAAAAAATTTGCTGTATGAGCTGACCATTGTAGTCAATTGCTGAATCCCAGTAACACTTTGCCTTATCCTTTGTATTCTCATATACTTTGCTTGTTGTGTCTGGTAGGATCCCAAAGTAGTATCTAATGTACTCCCTCGGTGTCATGGTAACCTCCAGGAAACTGTCAACATATTCAGTTGTATGATCTGAAATCATTTGTTTGGATGTAACTGCTACTTCTTGTAACTTTGATAAACAATCAGTTGTATATCCTGTGGCATAGTGCTGCAATGTCGTCATCATGTTCGTTAGGTCAAACATTCTGAAAAAATTAAAAAGACATCACGTTCATGTATTTCTTTAAATGTGATTGTTTTAGTCTATGTCCAGCAAACTATCTACTGCAAGCTAGATTAAAACTATAGAAGTAGCATTCCAATTAAGGCCAATATTTAATGCTTCTTGACAAGGCATTGATCAAAGGGAATGCGGTCCAATAATTTATCCTCAATACAATTTTCCAGTTGTTATATAGCAAGGAAAGTCATCTTCTACTATTGAAATATGATAGCATTAATTGATACGATATTTTGTTGTGTTGTTTGTATTACGAAGCTAGTCCAGATATGT